TTAAATAGAATTCGTGCCTCATATCGAATTTACCGAGTATCATAATTCCTCCAGGTGGTAAAGATACCTCGAGACAAGTGCTGGGCATAGAAGCCACAGGGCATAAATCTGCAAAGAAGTAAAAAGCTAACCTTTGCAAACAATATGGCTTCTCTCTCACTTACCAACTTTACATTTCCCTGTATGGCCCCGGAAGATGACTGGTTAGCCAGAGACGGGTAAGATTCCTCAAGGGAGGAACAACCTAAGACAGGCACAGTCGCAGGGGGGCCATCAGGTGAGAATTTGGGGATCAACAGAGGTGAGGCTCAGAACCTCACCCCCCCTGCTTTGAGAGAAATCTTCTGCATCCGTGGATGTCTTGCTGCCCTTGTCTAGCCTGGATTAATACTTAGTCCATAGGCACACACCTGATCATCTGATCATCTACATTTGCCCTCTTACAGCACTAAACTATGTTTTCTACCTTTATCTTGCATCTACCTACCACTTCAGCATTTTATTAAAAATAAAAATAATAATAATAATAGGAGAAATGTGGGATCAACATATAAATCAAGTACAAAAATCAAACGAATATTCATATTTGACCTGATTGTTTATAGGTCATATTGCATGATCAAAACCGAAAGTTTCTGTGATGACTGCCCTTGTACTGTTCACCATGTAAGAATTTATTCACTATGTAAGAATTCGTTCACCATGTAAGAACTTGTTCGTTATGCTTCAGAAGATTGGGGACTGATGAGAATTAGGCTTGGATTAATGATTAATGATTGTACATTGAGCGTTGACCCCCCTATACTGAATTTTATTGTTGTTAACAACCATTTGATCAATAAATATGAGAGATGCCCTCTCAAAAAATAAAATAAAATAAAAAAATAAAGTTTGACCCCCCACTTGTAAAAGGGTATAAAATGAAAACTAATGTCTCCCACTCCTCAGAGGTAATTACACTTATCTGTGTCTGCATTTACAAAAAAAGGTAGGTGGGGAATGCTTTACTTGGCAAATAACAAATATAAGAAACTCTAGAAATTAGGTACAATTTAAACAACCAAAAACACAAAAAGCAGTATTTTTTTTAATGTACAGATGTGTTCCTAGACCAAAAAAAGAACACCCAAACCAACCAGCATAGTCAGTCATCCCAGGAAACCAGGGCTTCTTGGAGATAATTTTTTTATGGCAGATATGCATCATGAACTACCTAAACCCTGGGAGTAACCCTTATCTTAAAGGTTAGTCATCCTATCCCAGGAACAGTGTGAGCAAAGTAGAGAGGTGGTATCAGGGTTACACATCCCACCTCAGAATGCTGGGGCTTGCTTCTGGGAAATTCCATGTGCCTTTTTGTATCTGAGAAGAGATATTGCTCTCTCCGCTCTCCCGTCCACTCCTGTGTCTCTGAATTACTGAAGCAGAAATGTTGGACCACAGGGGTCTCCTCCCCGAGAGTCACCCCTCTTCCTCCCTTTCTAAAGCTTTGGTTTCTCCACTGGTCTTGCCCCACCCCTCACTCTTGTTCAGTTAGGACCAAGCTTTGCACATTTTAGAATATGGTTTCCTAGAGTTTAAATGTCACTGAAAACCAAATACCTACCTGGGTTATCTCTCTTTAAGAATGGGAAAAAATAGCATGAAGCCGGGGTGAGATCGGTTCTCAAAAGACAATGATAATGTAGAATCTTTTTATTTTAAAGAACTTCCTGCTGGAATTGAGGAGATCACTTAAATGCCCCTTTCTGCTTAGAGCGAGGGGTTGGAACATCAATTGGGCCCCCTTTTTTTTTTTGAAAAGCTTTCTCCTAGCTCTGTCAGGACAGGTGCTCAGGTGGCCCCTCGACGCTGCCTTCCCCAGTCAACCAGTCCCCATGGCTGAAATCAGAGAAGCCGCAATCAACGGCAAACTGAGGGAGAGAAGTGGCTGGAGGACAGCAGGCGGCCCGGGTGTCTTGTGGGAAGAGCACAGGGTGCCTGGGTGCTCCAGGTGTCAGCCTGTCCCCCCTGCCCAGTGGCCACATGAGCCCTGGCCACGCCCAGGCACAGTGCTGGCCACTTTGGAGGCCCTCAGGGACCCAGGCCTTCCCTAAACACCCCCTCTGTCTCCCCAGGGTCTGTGCTTCAATGGTAGTGCCTTCCTCCTGTACCTCTCAGCCGCTGTCGTGGACGCGTCCTCTGTCTCCCCAGAGAGGGACAGCCACAACTTCAACAGCTGGGCGGCCTCGTCGGTGAGTGAGCCTCGTATTCCCCCTGGGATCCCTGCCTCCCTGAGGTTCCCCAGCCCACTGGGGATTAGGGAGGGGACACCTGTGGGAGTGACACACTGGCAATTAGCTTACTGGTTTGAAAACATCACAGATTGATGGGGCCTCCTGATGGCTTTGGAGTGCAAAGAGGTTGAAAGACTCTGCTTGAGTGAAAGCCCAGTGGCTGGAACAAAATAAGTGTTTGAGGAAGAAAAAATATGTGTCATTCTAAGAAAAAATTCTGCCTACAGTTGAAGTGGGGAGAGAGTTGCAGACAGTGAGCACGCTAATTAAATTTGTTTTTTTTTTTAAGAAGCAGAAATGTTTGTTTTGTGAGAATAACTGGGAAGATAAACACCGAACAGAGGCTCCTTCCGGAGACTGTGACTGGATCCTGAGGGGCTTTGACTTTTTAATTTATGTGCTTCTGTAGTTTGCATTTTAAACCCTAAATACATATCCTTTTTTAATTTAAAAAAAACTAATTTTAAAAGTTTCTCTGAGACTGGCCTTAAAATATTCCATCTCCAAAAGGGGGATATTTGGGAGGGGATCAGTGGGACAGGAATGCCAAAATGATAATGTTAAAGCTGACTGATGATACATGGGCATTCCTTATATTCTTATATTTGTATTTGAAAACCTCTATTTAAAGGTAGAGAGCATCATGCACATAAAATTAAAAATCACAGACTCTGGTGGCACAGGACTCAAATTAACAGATAGCCAAAAGCAGCTAGAACTGGGTGGGGGCATTTTCCCACTCACCATTCACACCACCCACACGTGGGTACGTCACTTCCTCTCGCCCACTCCTTTGTGTTATTAGACACCAAAGAAATCTCAGCTCTCCTAGGCAAGGTAAGGAAAACGGGGCTCAGCCCTGGTCCCAAAGTGCCCTAACCATCTGAGAAATACATGTGCTTTTCTCAGATGCACACCACCATATTCACCCCTAAGCGAACACCCTGGGGTTCATTTGAATAAAACTACAGGCTTCCCAAATACATTCCTAAAAAAAGAAACCAGCATAGGCAGAAATTGTTTCAGAAGGAAGGTAATTGAACCAATAAAGCAGTTTTAGATGAGAAAGCCTGGAGTCAAGGGATGCTGTGGGCACCTGGTTCAGCAGAGGCGAAATTATTTCTTTTGCTAGTTAGAATTTGCCCTCAACCCCTGTTCTATTATGCTTTGTTTCTCCAGTTCTTCGCCTTCCTGGTCACCATCTGCTACGCTGGAAACACATATTTCAGTTTTATAGCTTGGAGATCCAGGACCATACAGTGATTTGCCATTTTGAAACTGAACCGGGGAAAAAGGCAGGAAGCATCTCACTGTAACCACAGCTGTAGGTATAATATATATTTCCAGAGACTTGTATTTAACTAATGTTTTTATATACTTAGTTAAATTTGCTCCCAGTGGTTTGTTACCATTAAACTGGATACTTATTTGCAAAGGGCTGTAGCTTATAATGAACTCTTAAATAAACCTTGTTGATGTCCTCATAGACCTTATTTTCCTAGAAGTGTGTCGATAAATTGCTAATATTAAGGATGTGTCAGGTTTGTAAATCTAATGTTTAAAATACCAGATGTTTTTTGATTAAATGTTTCAAAATCCCAGGTGACACTGTGTCTGATTTAAGAAGGGAGACCTACGGCTGGAGCCCCAGGCTGGGTAGTATGGGAAAATCAGCCTGCCAGGACTGCTCAGGTGCACTATTGCCTGAAGACAGGACAGCCATGAGGTCAGGGGCGTAGGAGGGATGCATCTCCCCAGGTGGGATCTTCCGTCCGTGATTCTTGCATGCTAACCAGATAGCCCAGAAAGCGTCTAATGAGACATTGGTCTTAGACTTGGTAATAAGCTTGTTCCAAGAGGCATGCTGAGTGCAGCAAATGGCATACTAAGGGTATTTTTTCTAATATGCTTTAAAGTAAATACATAACCATTCAAAGGATGAATACTTGCATGTACCTCAAAAGCATCTTGCCAGCCACAGAGACAAGTATATCATATTTTGTGGGAAATACCACACCAGAAGGTCTCAAAGCTCCCATCTCCAGCACTAATGTTTTGTAGCATTGTTACTAGAGATCATCGTGAGGTGCGAAGCTCCAGTTATCAATGCAGATGTGTGCTTAGAGGAAGTGTTTTTAGGCAAGACAGTTCTTGCTGTGCATCTTGGGTGATTCTTCAACGTGAGCTGCTTTTGAAAAACAAAAAACCACAGAAACGTTCGTACAGTTGACAACAGTGAGGAGAGTTTCATTCGTGCCCTCTGGACGTGACACGCGCGGCCTCTGCTCTTCTGCTGTTGTTTGGCCGAGCTGTTTCTTCTTGTGTGATGCTCGTGTTGGTCTTCTTGTTTATTCAACTCTAATTCCTTGTCCAAGCTTTCTTTACCCTGCCTAGGAAAGCTGAGATTTCGTTGGTGTCTAATAACACTCATCCAGACCTTTGGAGAAGTCATGAGGAGTGTTCTTGGGCAGTGTGTCCACAGAGGTTGTATGTGGGAGGGGGAGGTGTTGGGGACACAGGAAGCCACTCTTGAGTCCGACACGCAGCAGGCCAGGAGGGCTGAACCTCAGCGGCGCAGACCTGCTCGTGATGGGGGCTGCCATCTCTTTGGAGCTGTGTCCGTGTTTGTCACTGGGACAGCCTCTGACTCGCTGGAGTTTGCAAGGAAAGCTGAACTAACCAGCCAGAGTTGGTATGTTCTGCCTCTCAGTCCATCGCTCTGTCTCACACTCACAGAGGCACAGGGCCACATAAGTACTCAGTGGGTTTTTTAAGTACTTATGTTGTAACCAAGACTCTTTAAAAGGCAGAAAAACTGTAACCACAGAGGTCTGTTTCTAGAAACAATCTTTAAAAAGAAGGTGCTTTTATGTTTTATGTGTGTGTGTGTGTGTAATTTCTGTAATCATAGCCACACTTATAGAAAGTAACTTCTGGAGAGAAAAGTTCATAAACCACTTTGAAATATTATCCAAAAAGACTACAAGTTTAGGCTTTTCTTGAACTAGTGGCACCAAATAGACCTCTTTCCAGAGAACAATGACTCATTTGTGCCCCTGCAGGAGCACTTGTTGTCTTGGCTTTATTTGTGGTTTTTCAGGAGTACGACCCTATATGTTGTCCTGTGAGTTCGCCAAAAAACAAAAAAGACATTTATTTTTAACTGAAAGGAAATTATTATTTCCTCTTTTAGATACTGAGAGATTTTATTCATGAATAATTTTTAAGTGTGGGCTTTTAAACAACAAAATTATTCTCTATTTTCAGATGAAGCGGTAAGTTTTTAACTGTTTTAATGTTTCTCTTAAGAAAAAACAAAACCAAAGCCACATGCAGTGCAACCAACATAACAGAAAGAATTGGTTTCTGGGGTTTGAAAAATACTATTTCAGGGGTAATATACAGTCTGTTTAAACTCCTTCCTGCCATCAGTTCTTGCCATCCACATTCACCTCTTCTCAGCCCTTAGGAAACTATCAGGTCCTCTTTGATGGACTGGGTAGCTTTTTTTTTGGAAACAATATATTTTTATTGGGATTTTTTGTGTTAGGTATGATTTTCCTTTTTTTTTTGCTATCACTGATATACAATTACATGAACAACGTTATGGTCACTAGACTCCCCCTATTATCAAGTCCCCCCCACCCCATTACAGTCACTGTCCATCAGCATAGTAAGATGCTATAGAATCACTACTTATCTTCTCTGTGCTATACTGCCATCCCGTGCCACCCCCCCACATTATACATACTAATCATAATGCCCCTTTTTCCCCCTTATCTCTCTCTTCCCACCCATCCTCCCCAGTCCCCTTTCCCTTTGGCAACTGTTAGTCCATTCTTGGGTTCTGTGAATCTGTTCCTTCAGTTTTTTCTTTGTTCTTATACTCCACAGATGAGTGAAATCATGTGATACTTGTCTTTTTCCGCCTGGCTTATTTCACTGAGCATAATACCCTCCAGCTCCATCCATGTTGTTGCAAATGGTAGGATTTGTTTTCTTCTTATGGCTGAATAATATTCCATTGTGTATATGTACCACATCTTCTTTATCCATTCATCTACTGATGGACACTTAGGTTGCTTCCATTTCTTGGCTATTGGAAATAGTGCTGCAATAAACATAGGGGTGCATGTGTCCTTTTGAAACTGGGCTGCTGCATTCTTAGGGTAAATTCCTAGAAGTGAAATTCCTGGGTCAAATGGTATTTCTATTTTGAGTTTTTTGAGGAACCTCCATACTGCTCTCCACAATGGTTGAACTAATTTACATTCCCACTATCAGTATAGGAGGGTTCCCCTTTCTCCACATCCTTACCAACATTTGTTCTTGTTTGTCTTTTGAATAGTGGCTATCCTAACTGGTGTGAGGTGATATCTCATTGTGGTTTTAATTTGCATTTCTCTGATGATTACCGATGTGGAGCATCTTTTCATGTGCCTGTTGGTCATCTGAAGTTCTTCTTTGGAGAAGTGTCTGTTCAGCTCCTCTGCCCATTTTTTAATTGATTTATTTGCTTTTTGTTTGTTGAGGTACATGAGCTCTTTATATAATTTGGATGTCAACCCCAGAATGGGTAGCTTTTTGATTTGATGTATTTATCCACTTATGGCAAATCAATGAAATGCTTTAGGCAATTCATCTCTCTTCATTGCTTAGTCCCCTTTTTCATTCTCAAAACCCCCATTCTCAAAACATACCCTCTTCATTGCAACTAATAGCCCCCAAAAATAAATATTTAGCCAATATTTGAAAACCACAAGAAAAATCTAGAGACAAGGACATTCAGTATCTTTTATTTTTGTACATTTTTAAATTGCTCCTTTCAGAGAAAAATCCCTTCAGGGTATCAGCACACCAAAGATTTTAAATACATAAAATATCTCTGCACAGCCATTTAAAAGTATTGACTGAAGATGCAGCCCTGGGTAGAAACTCCCTTCTACCCAGAAAACCCCCTTCTCAAAACCCCCTTGGAAGGTATGTTTTGAGAAAACTTTCATGGCAATGACAGGTTTTGTTTTAAGAATATTCAGAATAACTAACTCTGGGATGTAGCCGACCTTGTTGCTGCCCCTCCCCTCCCCTCCACCCCTCCTCATCTCCTCCCTCTTCTTGCTCTCTCCCTCAGCTTTTATTCCGTGTCCACCCACCCACTTAGAGCCCAGCTACCTGAAGCCGGCTCCACTCGCTCCAGGCCTGTGGCTCTGCCTGGACAGCTCCACCCAGTCACACCAAAGGTTGGTGGTGGGGAGCACATGAGCCACGGCTGCCTTGTTCAGGAGTTTTTGGAAATAGGTAGGCAGGAAATTATTGGTAAATGTTTTGTGACCACAAGTTGGAGCCAGTCAGAGGATAAAGGTGATTGGAAAGAAGAGCCAAGAGGTGAGAACTTCACCATGACATCGTGGAGCCACTGACTTCGGCACCTTTGCAGTGGCATGAGCTATTGTTCTCACTTTGCGTAAACTAATTTCTGTCATTCACAACAGTGAGCATCCTGACCAGTACACAGGACATCCTAGCAAATAGCTTTCGAGCAAAGGCATAATAACATTTTGGTTCTGATTTATTTTCTAATAGTAAATCACCCACAGGCCCCTAGGCTGATGGCAGTGATGGTGGGATAAGTCAACTTTAGCACCAGTGCTATTTAGCAGTAGAAGGGTAGAAAAAGGGAAACTTGAGAGTCTACTTGAGAGAGGGACTCAAGCCTTCTTGGAGCTATTGTTTAAGGCTGTGATAGCTTGGGAAGCTCTGGAGAAACGACAGGGAAAATGGGTACTCAAAGGAGTTTTCATGACTGATTTCAGTCATTGCAATAGGAAAGCCAAATGTGAAGGAGGAAACACAAATATCTAGCCTACAGCCATTTCACTTATAATAAGAACTCACCTTTGTTGTATCTCAAAGACACCTAGTCACTCTTGAGAAGTGGCTTCCCTCTCTGGAAGTAAGTTGGTCACTAAGGGCCAATGAACACTAGCCCAAGAAGGTGAGAATAAGGCCTGAACTCCTAATGTTTAGGAAAAGAGCTTAGAAGTCAAAGGTGGTATACTTTTTTCAAATTAAAACCCCAATGAGATGCTACATCACACTCTCCAGAATGGCTAAAATTAAAAAGACTGGCAATACCAAGTGTTGCAAAGGTGTGGAGCATCTGAATATGCATTCTTATACATTGTTGGTGGGACTAAAATGGTACAATTATTTATAAAGTTAAACATACACTTATAATATGACCCAGCAATTCCATTCCTAGATATTTACCCAAGAGAAATATGTCTACAGGAAGACTTATGCAAGAACATGCATAGCAGCTGTATTCATAATTGACTGAAAGTGGGAACAAACGATCATCAAATGATGAATAAATAAACAAAATGTGGTATATCCTTACAGTGGAATACTACTCAGCAATAAGAAAGGAGCAAACTATGGATACATGCCACAATACAGATGGATCTCCAAAATGTAATGAAAGACAGGGACAGTTGCACGGGGGCCATCAGGTGAGAAACTGGGGATCAACAGAGGTGAGGCTTAGAACCTCACCCCCCCCTGTTTTGAGAGAAATCTTCTGCATCCGTGGATGTTTTGT